CCAACTAATTTTCTAAGTCAATCACATGGTTTTGAGAAACTAGGTCAGGAGTTTCAACAGACCACATCCAGCAACAATTTGGGTTTTGAAGGGCTTGCCCTGACACCACAGCAGAGTGCAAGCTGAAGGAGAGCCCTCCATGCTGCCAAGAGGCAAGATGTCAAATTAACCTCCCAAAACAGAGCCCAGGGCAGCTGACCCTAACCAGTGCCCTCCATGGAGAGGAGAGGGTCTCTGAGAGCAGGGGGAGCTCAGCAGGTCAGTGATTCATTGCTTCAGGAGAATGGGGAAACGATGGCATGCAGTAAACAAATAGCAGGGCAGGGACCTTGCATTTGCGTATTGTGGCTGAAAGATCAAACCASACTATAAATACAATCAATCTCATCTTCCACTTCAAACTGCAGCTCTGCCTTTGGAAAAGGGGACGCTGCTGGTGGTTTGAAGGGCTGTGTAGGCACATTTATGTGTGTGGAAGGGTTTCTTGGACGAGATTTTGTAATTTAGCAACTTGCACAGAGCAGAAATGTGACCTTTAGAAGTAGTTTTGGGATATTCATGGATTTTTTTTTCCCCCCCAGATTTAACTTAGTGTGATTCAAGAAGGAAAAACTGGTCAGAAGCTGGGGGACCATCCCAAACTCAGCTTCCTTTGGGTGGCAAAATATTACCAATGACTCCTCCTTATCCCACCAGCTCAGCTAACRTGTGCCAGGGAGCAGCAAGGCTTGGGCATCAACCCAAGGTGAACCCCAGAGGCAGCCCAGAAACAGGGTTAGGGACAGATCTGCTTGCAAATGTAGGGCATTGATCCCTCTGGGAGCCAGAGCTGTATGGGAAATGGCACCTACACAACATTCAGGGGAAACAGAGGGATCTCAAGGATGGGTTTAAAAGAACCCCTGGCCAGTGGGCAGCAGTGGGGGGACAGGTGGGACTGGTCAGTGCAGTTAAGGCCCTCAGGGCCCTGACACAACAGGGAGCAGTCCTTTTGTGAGGGTTCCTGTGCTGTCCATGAGCCCATCAGCCCATGATCCCAAAACTGTTTCTGAGGTGGCTCCACAGTCAGATTTGTGATGAACACCCTCAGCAATTGGCCTCGTTTGGTTCTGTATCTGTGCTAATTGGCATTACCCTGAGTGCCCTGACTGGAAAACAAAGGCTGGCCAGCACAGAAACCCAGGGAAAACAGTCCCGCTGTTATCCTACGTAGGAGTTTCWAATGAGAGTTCCTTTGGCAATCTTTCATTAAAATAATCATTTAGATCAGAGTTTCCAACAGCCACAAAGTACCCATGAGCAGCAATTAAAAAATGTTCCATCAAAAATATTAAATATTCCATTCAAGATAATCTAATTGACATGAATTAGTACTYATGCTCCCCAGCCAGTTTTCCCACTTGGGATCTCATGGAATAAGTTGCGTTTCTGAGTTACAGAATTAGACTGGAGAGCAGCTCGGTGGCTCTTTGGACGGGAGCCTGCCTCTGGGCTTGCATGGTACTAAATTTATATTTATAGGGCTTGGAAAACGGGCTGTGCCATATGGAAAAGACATTCGGGAGCACAGGGGCTGTTTAACGAGCTGGGGTGTCCCTTCACCTCCAGGGGTGTTCAGGGGAAATGGAAACACCAAGAGCATGGCACAGGGGCTCTGCCTGTGCTGAGGAGATCACACACGTCCCAGCAGGCCTGGGTGAATGCACAGGTCACCACTGAAAATATTCAGAATATTCCCAGTAAAGGCTCCTGGCTCCATCTCTTTAGAGGGAAAACCCAAGTGCTGTGCAGAGCTGGCTGTGAGAAGGGTTTGGGCAGCTGTCTGGTAGCTGTTTGAGGAAACACACAGCCCACAGTTTTTCTGAAGAGTGGTGTTCTGAAACACAAACACTCTTGTAAACAATTTGTCCCTTTGTATGTTTCCTCACAAAAACAAAAAAATCACAAAGGCATAAACCCCGCTGTGTTCTGGAACAGCAGCCTTTGCACACTGAAAGGTCCYGTGGTGTGCTCCTGCCCTGGAGCTCCTGGAGAAGGCTCCTACAACTCACACCCAAGAATTTTAGTAAATCTCTTCGTATTTTTTTTTCCTGAAGGCTGCTAGTTTTGAGAGAACCTCCTGAAAGGGGCTTTTACCTGCCTTCCCTTTTCATGGCTGGAATAGGTAGAAATATGTTTTTTTATCAGCTCTGTTGGACAYCACAGCCAATCTCTTTCAATAATTTCATTCCTGTGAGGAGACCAAACATTTATCAGGGCAGCAAAGTGATGATAATGCCTGGTATCGAGAGGAGAGCAGCTCCCTGAGCTGCAGCCACATCCTGGCTAATGCACCCGTCCTGCAACATGCCTGCTGTATTTAACCCACACTAATTATTACCCAAAGCCTACTTCAGCAAAGTCTATTTTTATGGTGGGTTTGAGCAAGATGTTGCCAAGGATTTGGTGCCAAGTAACCCCAGCACGGTGCAGAGCTGCTGCCCTGTGCAGAGTTAAGGGTTTGCAGAGGGAGAACCAGTTCAGCACTGCCCAGTTGACCACCAGGGATAGCCAGAGCCTTTCTCCAGCCTCCTCKGAGCAAAAACATCCCTGGGTCATCCCCACAGCCTCACTCTGCTACAGGGAAAACAAATCACTGATTGTTAGTTAAGGGGCATACGTATGAGCTGCAATGATCCACCAGGAAATATTAAACAGAGATCCTCAGCTTTGTGTAGGGCAATCACAGCAATCGAGAGAACCCAGGAAAA